TTCAATTACTCAGATATGGTAAACATGAGGAAATTAAATCTTCATCAGAGTACAAAACAAATTCTGGCCACAAAATAGAGCGAAACACCAACGTCAAAGACCTGGGAGTGATTATGTGGGAGGATCTCATTTTCAAGGACCATAACTTTGTATCAATCGCATCTGCTAAAAAAATGACAGGATATAATGAAAACCCTTTAAAAAATAGGGGGCCCAACCCCATGATGACACTCTTCAGGATTGTTACTAGGCTGGAATATTGCTGCATTAACGCCCCTTTCAAGGCGGTAAAATTGGACCTAAAAAAATGTACAGAGAACTTTCAAGCCGCATAACGGAGAAAAAACACCTCAATTAGGGGAGCGCTTGAGGTTTCAAACCTGTTTCCCGGGAAAACGCGGGAGGGAGAGTACTTTATATACCCTGGAAATCCTAGAGGATATTTCCGAACTTGCACACGAAAATCACTCACTACGAAAGCAAAAGACTTGGCAGACGACAACCCCCAATAAAAAGCGGGGTGTCACTGCACTTAAGAACCATACAATAATGTCGGGGCCCCGGAACTTTTAACTGCCCCCCAGCCAATAAGGGGGTTTAAAAAACCCCCCTGGAGTCTTAAGTGGCATGGACAAGCCCCAAAAGCCCGTTCCTGATCGCGGGCTGTGGCTGTACGTTGGTTGCGTGCAGCCAGCAGCAACACCCTGGTTGATAGGCGTGATCCCCAGGGGCCTGGTCACAGACCGGGCCGCGGGGGCGTTGACCCCCAAAACTCTCTCCAGGTAAACCCAGGTACTGAAGAATATTGAATTGTTTATAACGAGTATAATAATACTAAGATTTTAAAAGCACGACATGTAGTGGCTTTCTTTTGTGCCTAACAGTTTTACGTGTAAACTACATTATCAGTATACTGCAGGAAATAAATCGTAATAAAGTTGATAGAATTACCGACAATATGTAAAGTAAAAGGACACAAGTGGGAATAATTTTGACATTATTGTGGCAACGTTTCGCTCCTCCAGGAGCTTTATCAAGCCATTAGCTTGATCAAGCTAATGGCTTGATAAAGCTAATGGCTTGATAAAGCTAATGGGCTGATAAAGCTCCTGGAGAGCGAAACGTTCCCACAAAAAAATGCCACATTTTGATTTGTGCCTTTTACTTTACGGGAAATAAATCAATTTTTTTTTTATTGTATTTTTTTGTGTTTTTCCAAATGCATTTTAGTTGTTTGTGTGTCTTAATTGTTTTTTTGTTTTTTTGGAAGCGTTTTGCAGGGGTTTTTACTTTACATTTGTATGGACTGATGAACCCCACTGTTGGCAAAACTTTTTCTAAATAAAGATCCCCAAAGAGTTGAAATGTGTCAAATTTTAAAACAACAAAAATTCCGGACAAAACTTGAAGACAGGAAACTATGTACAAAAATGAGGAAATCCCCCTAAACCTAGCATAAGTGCAAAGAGCCCCGTAGTCGTGGAGATTCTCCACGATCCCAAATTTGTATTGAAAAAGTTGTCCCGTGTACAGAAAACCTTTCCCCTATGAGGAGACTAAGGGCCCTATATATGCACTCTCTAGAAAGACGTAGAATTGGGGGGGGTTTTTTTTAAGTTGTAAAAGGAAGACGGAATAAATAAAGGGGATGTAAATGTGTGCTGAAAATATCTACCCTAGACAGGATTGCGCAATTTTTTAAATTTGGGAAAAAATTCGGGTTTCAGGAAGGATATGGGAAAAGTAGGGTTTTGGGTAAAGATTTGTGGATGTTTGGGACAAACCCAGTACAGATAGAGGTCGAAACGTTGTTTAGCTTTAAAAATGGGTTTGGAAAAAAACATTGAGTGAGGGGTGGGGGGTGAGTTGGACCCGAAATTTGTGTACCAGGTCGGTTGCCGTGTTTTTCCTAAAAAGGGCCTAAAATCCGGTAGATCGGTTTCCAATCTTTAAAAGTTACAAAGGTAATGTTCTCCAGGAAAGATTGGTCCCCAATCTTTAAAAAGTTCCCAAAGGTAATAAAACCATCTATCATGGTTAAAAATCCGAACAAAAAACAAAATAATGTTTAAATTACACGTCCGCCCTCGGCCCCAAAAATTTAAAGGGTTATCGGGCCCCAAATATTAATATTAAAAAAGTTTGCAAATAGCAATTATAAAGGGAAAAATAAGTCACTCAGTCAGATTTTTTCTGGGTTATCCCGGGTTTTTTCTGCCTTTTTTGGCTGCTTTGTAAAAAACCCCCCCCCCCGGTTAAAAACTGTATTTTTTTTAAAAAAAACCTGACTTATTTATTATATTTTTACTTATTTAAATTACTTACTAGTTTTTTTAATTTGTTTTTTATGCACCCCATACCCACCCTGTGGGCGGTAGTAAAAAGATTACAGAGGTACAAAAATGGGCCCAGGGACTGGGCCCTAAAAGTTTTGTGCTGAGCAAGTTACAGGGGTTTGGGAATTCAAAAATTTTTCAAAGGTAATAAAACCCCAAAATTTTAAAAAGGTAATAAAAATCCAGGTGGGTCTAGCCCAAAAATCTTTGAAAATTTTCCCAAAGGTATTTACAGTTTTTAAGGGACCCCAATGGGTCCGGGGAGGGGCCCCAAAAGGGTTTTGTTTAGCTGAATTGGTTTAAAAAGGTTTAATGAACTACAAGTTACAAAGGTAAAAATACTGTAAGAAGGTTACTTACGTGTAACATGGCTGAAAATCATGAAAAAATTTTTGAGTAAGACCCAATTTCCCACATTCCACACCCGGTAAATTACTTATTTTTACTAGTAATATTAAAAGTAGGAAAAGATAGCGTTTTTAAAGTCAAATGAGTCTTGCAATAACCAGGATTGCTGGGTCGGTTTAAGGGATAGAAAAACGTTATTTAGGCTGCTGGTGGTGTTGGGGCCCGGCGCCCTTTTACTGTGCCCTCCATCACCCCCCTCATAATCCCTTTGCTCTTTTCTGAAAGTTACCCTGTGTGTGATGGGGGTGTTGGTTGGTAGGTTGAGTGGGGGGTTTAGTGGTAGTGGTGGGGCATGGGCAGTGCCCAGTAAGGCTCCTGACACGCGTAATATGCCGGTAAATAAGTCGTCTGGGTCATCTTGTTTTTCACACGCTGACTCCAGGCGCCAAAAGGGAAATTCTGGTGTATTTCTCGCATCCATGATATATTTGGTGATTTCACTTGCCGGGAGCCTCTGTGGGTTTCTTTTTATTGTTTTATTGCTTCATAAGACTGCTGCTACTATAATAAGTACGCTGAGTGAGATAAAGTTAACAGTTTTATATTAGGATAATGGTGGCCATAAAGTGAGGTGTTGCCACGTTCTAACACTTTAATATTTTATTTTCTTGTATATTTATGTGTACGTTGTGATAAATATTGCTAGCACATAACTTATTGATCCTTGTGATTACCTCGAAAATATTAATATTTTTTTTTATTACTTATAGTATCGTGAAGCTTTAAATAATAAGATATTACAAGGATCTAATGGAAATAAATAGTTTTTACTTTTTTTTTGGATTATCTTGGTAATTTACACATGTTAATTGTCCTTATGTAGTTAAACATACAGGGGAAACACCAGAAGCTAGCGAGGAAATTTTTTGTGGTGCTCTCTTATTTGTGGTTCCCAGGGGGTCGAGTCACAGCCCCTGGCCCTTCCGGAGTATGTTATATGGGGTTTTAAAAAGCATCTATACTTACAACCACAATATTTTGCTTTCTTGATGCCTGTGATATGATTGAAATGATTTGCATAATTAGTGGTTTTGGTGTCTACTGTTGTAATGACAGATTTATTTACATTATTTGTATGACTCGCAGAAATTAAACATTATATTGTTTTTTTTTATTAGTTTGTTTAGGCATAGGTACTTTTAACCAAATTTTTAAATTTGTGTAGTATACGAAGTATAGTTATAAATATTAAACTCAAAGAAAGTCGCTAACATGCATGTGCGTTTCAGACTGATCCCAGTGCTTACACACTACTTAGGACTAGACATATATTATTAAATAATTACAGCTAGTACAGTTATCATATGTATTATCTAGGATAACCCCTTGTTGCCCAGCTTCTCGGGGAAGGGTTTACTTAACATATCATTGGTAATTCTACTGGTATTAATACTATATTAAAACTGCACCCGCCACTTCTCCGACCACTGCACGTCTGTTCAAATCATCCTGATCCTGGAGTGCTCTAATGTCCTCATTAGAATGAATTTGGGTGGGCCCGGGTTTTTTGGTGGCGTCAGCAAATTTGCTTAATGTCACTATATGCTGATAATACCAAATTAGGCCTTCCAATTCATTCTAATGAGGACAGAGCACTCCAGGAAAATTTGAATAAGATTGGGGCAGTGGTCAGAGAAGTGGCAGATGCAGTTTAATTAATATAGACAAATGCAATGTCAGTAGTCAGGCCCTGAAACAAGGCTCAAGTGTGTGTCTGTTACTCCTTAAAAAACTCTAATTTTATATTGGAAAAAGTAATAAAGAAAAAAAAGGCACAACCCCGTGATTGGAACAATACACAAATGACAGAATTTTGTCTGACTTGGCCCATTAACCACAGTGCCTAGTTGACCAGGTAACTCTAAGTTGGTGCAGGGCGGGGTTTCCGAGAATAGAAAACTCAAAGCTCGTCGAATGTAAATCATAATGTACATACAGTATATGGCTCGTGTTCATGGTACTGTGCAAGGACAGTTTTTCTCTTCCACTTTTTCTAAATTTAAAACTGTACACATGTAAATGTTAGTAGATTTACAAGGCAGGGGAGATGACTCAGTTGGAAACTGTATTTCTGAGACAGGAAAATGAAAATCTAGAAAACCCACGGTCCCCATAATTTCTAATTGATATTTGCTGGTATATTTACTCGTGCTTCACAGTAGTGTTGTGCCAAAATACTGTATACACATGTTTAAGTAAAATTTTTTTATATCATTTGCATAAATATCATTTGCATAAATAAAAACCTTCCTTTTGCAGGCAGTTCAAAATGGGGAGAGAGAGAGAACGTGAACGGGAGAGAGATCGGGAAAGGTACCACCGGCATAGGTAAGTTTTCTTCAGGTACTTTATATTTTTAAAATCAAGAAAGGAATTAATAGATAGGTAGGTGGAAGATGAAAGCAATATTTTGAGCTGAAGGGTGTTCAGGGGAACAACACTCCCGGGCTTGGTCCATGACCAGGTCTTTTGTGGTCAGGGCCTGATCATCCATGCGGTTACTGCTGGCCACATGCAAACCGACGTATGAACCACATCCCAGCTGGTCAGGTACTGACTAAGTGCCTGTCCAGCTTCTCCTTGAGGACAGCCAGGGGTCTCTTGGTAAACCCCCTTATGTATTTCTGAGAGGCAGTTGAAAAGTCTTGGGGCCCCGATGCTTATCGTGTTCTCTTAGTGTACTCGTGCGGCCCCTACTTTTCAATGAGGGGATATTGCATCGCCTGCTCTATTGTGTGGTTGGAATTTGTTTTATATTCTAAACCAGTTTTTATTTCCTTGTTTTTTCCCTAGTTGTGGTTTAAATTGAAATTTGTCCTTATTGAACTTAATACTGTTTTCTGAGGCCTATTTAAAGACTTGATTAATGTCTGCTTGGAGATTTGCAGTGTCCTTAATGGATGACTGCCATGCAAATTCTGATATCAGCAAAGGAGGACATAGTGCTGTGGCTTACATCTGTCAGATATGAGGATGAGGAAAAGGATTGGAGTGAGTACTGTACCTTGTAGAACAGCTTTTCACTGTAGCTGCCATAAGAATCAGTCAGTTAATTGGTATTTATTTCCACCTGATACATCATTTATACAAAGTTGGATAGCATTATATCAGTTGTATGGAAAGCCCATTAGTTATGCGGAGCATTTCAGGTAAGGGAAAACCTAACTTATTACTAGGAGGACTATAATACTGTACAGTGGAACCTCAGTACTCAGCCAGCTTCAATTTTAACAAAGCTCGACACTTGACCAAACAAACACGACCTGCCAGAACATTGCTGTAAACTATTTAGTTTTTCTTCGCATTTTTGGGTGTTTTTTCTTATATTTGTATAAATTAGTCACTGTGGAGCCTATGAAGATTAGTGATAAAAAGCCAACCAAAAAGAAAATTGGTTTGGAAGAATTGGTTTTGATACTTTATATTGATCAGCACTAAACAGCCTTCTGGAATGAATTAATTGAGTACTGAGGTTCCACTGTATTTTAGGTACTGTACATGTTTTTTAAACATAAATGATATCCAATTTAAAATAGATCATGTGCATAGAAGCATTTAAAGTCAGTGCAAGGTACATGGTAATAAGAACACTTAGGTTAAAACTATATTAAAATTATTCTGGGTTAAAAAATACTTAATACATACACTGTTAATTAAGTAGTTTTTTGTGCCTAAAGCACTGAAAACACTGGGGTACATAGTCTTACGATATTTTAAATGATTCAGTGTGTGATAGCTTTCACAACATGGAAATAAGTCACATTGTTTTTGCTTTACTGGTTATTTTGGGTTTAAAATATGCATCACTGTAATGGATTTTCGTAAAATTTAAAAATTTTATACTATGTACAAAAGCCTAAAACCTAAACCTAAATTGCATAAATGCAAAGTGGCATATCACACACCTTGTTTATGTATTTATGAGTCACTGATATTTGTATGCACTTCATTTACCGCCTGACCCTTCATTTTTGTTTTCCCTTGGTGTAACAAGGTGGCCCGGTCCAAAATTTGAGCCGAGGGAAAAGTGACTTTTAGCAATTTGGGGCCCAAAACAAATTTACATTTATATATGTCTACCAGTTTATCCCTTCGAGTCCAGACCCCTGATCTGAAATTGTTTTTGTCAAAAGAATTTTAGCCTCCCCCTTTTTATTAAGAAATGTTTGAAAATTTTTTTCGAATGTAAAAGTACCAAAAAATATGAAATTTGATGGAAAAATTGTGGAATTACATAGGCAAAGTTTGAGGTTTGGGCAATTTACTCGCTGGCAGTTTCGCTGACTTTTTAGTCCTACTGTAGGCCAATTCCATTCTTCTAGTTGACCAAATTCTTAGCTTTTTTCTACTTTTCCTTGAACATCGAAAATGGGATGAAATACCCCAAGTTGTTAGGGAAGACCATATGAACAGTTTTGGTATCTTTATTTCGAAACATTTCGCCTACACGTAGGTTTTTCAGTGAGTCAGAAGTAGGCGGGGCGAGAGATTTGAAGACGATGTAATCAGTCCATCACCCTTGAAAATCTTTAGATTTGAGGTTGTCAGCCCCTCAGCCTGGAGAAGTTCTGTTCCAAAGTTTGGAACTAACTGAAGATCAAACGACAAGTGTTGAGACTTAACCCTTTCGGATCCGTCCGTAGATCTACGGCTTTTCGGTGAGTGTCCAAACGTAGATCTACGCCAAAATTCTAACGCCGTCAAATTTAGCGCGAAAGCGCTCATAGGCCTACATGTGAGAGAATGGGTCTGCGCCGTGGGTGTGCGCCGTAAACAAAAAATCTAGGCGCCTCCTAGCATTGTGGGAATGCCGGCTCAGTCACCCTTGTTCCCCATGCCTCGTCGCAAGTCAGCTCTCTCCCCGGAAAATTGGGACTCTCCTCTTCCTGTCTGATAGTTCTGCACTGATGGAAGTGGAAATGAAGACGAATTTACGGCTTTGATAAGTTAGTGACCGAAAAAAATGACCAGGATATCGATAATAGTGCAGAAACCCCGACGATCCTCGACCTTCTACCTTGGTGTGGGCACTCGTGACTCATGGTCGGGTGTTCCTAAACGTAAGAGAAAACTAATATTTTCCCGTGGCCAGGCCTCTGACTTCAGAAATTTAAATGATGATTCTGACGTGGATTGTGTTTTTTATTGCGCTCGACGATCATTCGAGTAGTGATAGTGAGGAACATATTCCCCAGTGAAGCGTCGGTATGTTCGCCCCCGCTTTGCGCTCGGGTAGTGTACCTATGCTGTGCCCAGGGGACGGAGTACATCCCGGAGTACATCCCGGAGTACATCCGTGGCCCTAAAACCCGTTTTTAGGTAGTGATAGTGAGGATGATATTTATTTATTTATTTTATTTATAATTTGAGCACATTTTACAGAGGTACAAAAAAAAATAAGATAAGAGCAGCATGCCAAAGCCACTTATACTATTGCATCATTACGGGTTGGCTTAAAATTACTTAAAGATTAACTAAGCAATGAGGGAAATCAGTGAAAACATTAATGTAAACTGATTACTATAAAGCACAAGTGAGTATTACAAAGACAGGTATATGGTTGCATGCATTGTTGTAAATTCAGTAGAATGGTGTATTCTGTTAGGTAGTGTATTTAAAAAATAATAAAGTTAGTTTGGGGTTTTTTTAGGTTTAACATTTATGTGATATAATTGTGAGAAACATTTAAGATATACAATTTATAAGGTTCAGTTATTCAGTATTTTTTTGGTTTTGGGTGAGTAAGTGATCTTTGAGAAGAGACTTGAATTTATAAACAGGTAGTGTTTCTTTTATATTTACAGGTAATGAATTCCAGATTTTAGGGCCTTTTATGTGCATTGAGTTTTTGCATAGCGTGAGATGGACCCTAGGAATATCAAAGAGTGATCTGTGCCTTGTGTTATGGTCATGTGTTCTGTTGAGGTTGGCAAGGAGATGTTTGAGGGGAGGGTTAATTTTCAGAGTTGAGTGTTCTATGTATGAAATAGGTGCAGTAATAAGTATGGATGTTTTGTTTTGGTGAGTAGGTTGAGTGTATTGAATTTTGGGTGGAGTGTGCTGCCTGTAGTGGAATTTGTTATCATTCTAATGCAGCTACACTTTGCATGGATGGGCCACAGGCATCAGTGGATGGTGTTAGTGGGGCTGGTGGTGGTAGTGGCACAGCCATGCGTGACTCACGGTGCCACGCGGGGACCCACGCTGCGACTCATCAGTTCAAGGACAAAGCGGAGCGTCACCCAAAGCCCGCCACAACCCCCCGTACAACCAGCCTATGATGTCCAGTATCCACCAGCAAACCGTATCTGGGATTGGCAGCAAAATCCCAATTTTGTTCCCAGCCCTCCCCACTTTGATGACTCTCAAAGTGGAATTCTACCTCCTGCCCCCTTTGGGAAAACCACGGCCAATGAACTGGAATTCTTTGAATTATTCTTTGACCAGCCATTGATGGAAATTATTGTCAGGGAAAGTAATAAGTATTTTCATTTACACCATGGCAAATACGATCTTATCACCACAGTCAAGACTACACAGGTGGAAAGAGACGATGTTGCAGAAATGTATTTGTTTTTTTGCAACAATAATGCTTATGCCCCCAAAATCTATAAGCATAATATAAAAGCATACTGGTCCACAGATCAGCTAATTGTACCCCATCCTTCAGTGAAATGATACCAGTGAACAGGTTTATCTTACTGTTACGTTATGTTGCACTTCTCTGACAAAACCAGGCCTGACAGAAGTGACAGGTTATACAAGATTAGAAATGTTTTCATGTATCTCAAACAAAAGTTCAGGATATACTTTTATCCATTCAAGAATCTTGTAATTGACGAGTCTTTGATTTTGTTCAAGGTAGACTGTCATTCAAGCAGTATATACTGTGATTGTGACAGTGGCCTGGTGTTGGATATTGTTGTATACACGGGTAGTAAAACATTGAAAGATACCCAAAATGTTATTGGGTATATCAGGTGACGTAGTGAGAAACTGATGGCACCTTATCTTGGTAAGGGCCATACATTATATAAACCCATAACTGGGACACAAGCCCCTTACTCAGTGATTTCATGCGAGTGAACAAGACAGATGTGTGTGGCACAGTGCGTTCTAAACGTAAAAATATGCCAGGGTCAATGCAGGTGTTCGTGGTGATGACGTGCAGGTGTTTACTGCCAATGACATCGTGGCATTACGGTGGCATGACAAACGTGATGTCACATTGTTGACAACCATTCACCGTAATGAAATGCAAGACAGTGGCAAAGTTGATCGAGTGACTAATGAACGTATTCGAAAACCAGTGTCAGTGATTGATTTTA